ATAAAATTTATTTTATTTTATTTAAAATTATAATTTACACACGTATTAATTTTCTGAGTACATACAGTTATCATTACAAATATTATTAGAATTATGCACTGATTTAGCTTAATTTGTTGAATGCAAAAATATAAAGCTGAAGTGAATTTTTATTCTATATAAGGATGCGTATTTACCTCTCTTCCTCAAGTAAAAATATACCCAGATACGGTTCTGATGGCAGGCATTAAGACGAACAATAGAAAGCATATTAAATCTTTAACAATCTAAAGTTTAATTTGAATTCAATTTCTGCCCTATTGCAGTGATCAGTGAGCTGATAAGACTTTATGTTAATTAACCAGTTATTATGAATGAACCTTATTACAGCCAGCTCTGCCTAAGTTGTATTGCCAGCTTTAGTATCTTGAAGCCGACGTTTAAAATACGCGCCGGTAATCATCTTGAGCCAGTTAAAGTGTTTTGTTTTATGTGTAGTAGAGACTACACTTAGTCAGAGGACTATGTCAGCTACATTTAAATTTAATGTTATATTAATTTATATTCTCGCAAGTAGCGGAGGTTCATCTGTGGCACAAAAAGCACATTTTGTTCATTTAAAAGTTAAATAAAAAGGTTATTTCAACCCTATTAAGACTTTTTATTGCTTTAGACTAAAGAGATAAGTCGCCTCCAGTGTTTGCAGAAAATTAATTCAAGCATTTAGACATAGCAAAACTCTACCTTTGTGCCCCAGCTCTATCACTAATCATGTCGCGCGACAAAACTGCATTTAGCCAGATGTCCCCAAGACTCCCAAGTTCTACAGCCCCTGCAAGTTCTATGGAAGGATTTATTGTAGACAGTATGCATTTCTCGATGAAACAATCCAGTAATTTCGAAGGTAAAAGTTTGGTCTTGACCTTTTTAGAAAGCGCCAGAAGTGCAATTTTTATTATAGCTAGTTAAATAACTGCAAAAAGTGGCCATAGCAACGGCTGCGCTGAGAAGTCAAGTATTGGAAGTGGTGTAAAGGTATTGGAAAATATTTACTAGGCGAAACCAGCGTATAAGAATTACAAATTCGGTGTACTTAAAAATGTACTTTTGGGAGCATTCTTCGTGAGTAAAGATAGGGCGAAGTTGGAAGTAGCAGTTTATGGTAAATACGAGACTAAGGTAGATGAACCAATTGATTTTATTTTAAGAAACGTAGAGGTGGTAAATTTGTTATATGAAAAAAAAAAAAAAAAAAAAAAAACCGATGCAGAAGTTATTGAGTTAATATTCTTCAGGCTGTTGACGCACAGAAGATTTGATAGAGATAAAAAGACCGTGCAACGCTAAATCTGCTTTTCGAATTAGCGGTAAAAAATGTGAAAGTCAGAGTGTGCCGGTAAATATGCGTAGGCGGGAGTACTGTTAAAGCATTAGTAGTGGTTCTGTGCATCAGAGTTCAGTCACCGAAGATGAAAGAAAAAGAAGCTCATATTTTCAATTAAATACGGTACTAATTAAAAATCTTTTATTCCTAAATATTCAAATTATTTTGAACAGAATATCTTCAGACGCGTTACTGGACACAAGAGCACAATATAGCTTTCCGGCGGAAAAGTTTTAAGGAAAAATTTTTGAAAGGTAAAGGTCATTCGATGTTGCAGAAACGAACCAAACAGAAAAACACTGTGAATGTATAGGGAGAGTGACTTCGAATGTTCAGGTTAAAATGAACAGCAAGATTATTACTTTTTTGTGGGGGGGCGGCGAAAAATTTACAAGCAAACTTAGTTTTGGGGTTGGATTTCTTAAATCGGATAGAGCGCAAATTAATATTAAGGAAGATATGTTAAAGTTAGATATTAACAAGTTGACGGTTTGATTTGATTGAAACAGGAAATAACCCGTCATGTAGATTAAAACTCTACCGCTACAATGAAGTCAAAGAGAAAATCACAGAAGGGCATATTGCGGAAGTTCTAAAAAAATTACAATCCGCACTATTAGCCTCTGTAGTACTATGCAGAAAAAAAGAAGAATCTTCCCACCAACTGACTTTTGAGGCTTGGAGATTGACTATCGATTACAAAAAACTAAACAATCTAAAAATGTAACGTTTACGCCTTCCCAATAACTGAAGGAATTATTAAGAAGATCAAATCTGAAAAATACTTGAGCATGTTATATCTCACGCCTGGATATTTTCAGATATGTGTGAAACAGGAAAATGGGCCCTAAACCGCATTTATTATAAAATCAGGGGTTAAAAGCAAAGTTAAACGTTCTGTAAAGCAATGTAAGGGTTAACATTGCAAAACTTAGTTGTACTGTATTGTATGACTCACTAATGCATTCTATTGTACATTACATTAATACATAATTAATTATTACATTAATCACATAATATTGTACAGTAATGTACTATATTATGTGATTAATGTAATGTACTGTGTAGAAAATGTATGGTACTGTAAAATGAGAGTTAGATAATTCTATCGATTGAACCATTTAAGTTGATATGCACCTATACTATAGTTGACCAGCTGTTCCGGTTAGTAATATACTTCACTTCGTCAATTTTACTGATACTGAGTATAACGAAATTACTTTCGCTTTTTCGTTAATCATGCTAAGAAACAGCTCACAAAACCGCGTAGTAATAGCCGTGACGTTACCAAAATTAATGGTTTTGCGCGTTGTTTGGGTGTTTATATCCCATGCGCTAATAGTCTTGCAAATGTAGTCACTTTGCATAATTTATACATGCGCTTACCCGCAGAAATGTGTATGGCACTACGGGTTTTTTTTTCGGGGGGGGGTAGTGTAACATTTTATCGCTCAGACAGTTTATTCTTCATCTTGTGTATACTGATCTTGCTTTTAAATTCTAATCCAAGCATATATTTGTATGATCGTGCTCTTTATCTTTGTATCATAAATTATTGATATTCCTTCTAGAGCTCTTTGTTAATTTACTGTCCGTAACCATAGCTATTTGTTTTTTTATAGTGTCGCTGACTATGCTATAAGGCATAATTTCTGCACCTATCTTCTTCTCTCTCTCATTTTGGACTAAAAAATAGTAGGATTATCGATTGCAGTAATACAGTAAATTTTTCATTCTAGTTTTATCACTTCTTTTTTCCTAGTTTTGTGTATTGATTATTGTTGTACGTGTAATTACACACCTCGTATTTACCGACGTCGTTTCAGTTGATAAAATAAAATGTTAAACTTGTGTAGCTTACCTCTGGGTCCACACATCCAGAGCTGATACTACAATAATTTAGAATAATTTTCGTTTTCCTTTGATTGAAAGATGCAAAGTAATTTAAGTGACTGTAAGCAATATCCTCAAGATACTTTACTTTACAAGATCACAGGGCAATAAACTGAAAGAAAAAAGTCCTGAACTGTAGAGTAATCCAAAAGTCAGTAAAGATTTCATAAAAAAATAAAAACAGAACAAATAAGTGTAAAGAAGTCAAATTTACATGGTTTGCATTGCTTATGCAAATGATTTTGACTTCGAAAACTTTGAAATATATCACTGAAAACTCTTCAATAAGATAAATAGATAAATTGCGATTATAATTAAAGGCAGATCATTTTAAATTGAGATACGATTAATAACTAGAAATGTCCTTTTTTTTAGTGGTTGTAAAAGATGCCTAGATATTTAAATGGTCTGTATAGATCAAATTGTTACACTCAAACTTACTGAAAGTGATTGCCTGTATTTTTGTTTAAATTAGTTTTGTATTATAATTTAAAATAAATCTGAACTTTCTCTTTTATTTCTGTAAGTTTTTAGAAGCCAATCCAGGAAAAATATAAAATTTACAATATTACTTATTTAAGTTATTTAATATAACTTTTATGAAATGAAGTGTACATTATAAATGCTTGGAGTATTTATTTTTATTATTGGTTTATAGTTACTCATATGCATATTAGCATGATGTTAATTATAAACATGAGCACTTATTTTTATTATTGGCTTCAAATTTTTCATTTTTTTATTACTGACATACTTAACAATAATGATTATAATTGATATTATACAGTCATTTAAAAAACTCATTTTATTTAACTGCATCTCTAAAATATTAAGTTTCTTTATCTTAACAATTAAAGTTTTTTTTTTTTTTTCAAAAGTCTTATATCAGCTGAACAATGCATTGCACAAAGAGTTTTTAAAATTTCAGTTCTTTGATTATGCCTTTCTTTGCGTTGTTTCATTTATAAATACTCTCATTCTAAAATTATTCATTTTTAATAGAAAATAAGCCGTCTAACAAGATGTTTTGTACCTGAGAAAGAAGAGTGTTTCATTTATATACAACTGAAAGTGCTATAGTTCTTGCAATTTAACTTTTGTTCCCAATCTTGTATGTCTGCAAGGACTATAATTTTAGTATGTATTTACAGTATGTATTCCTTTCCTCCCATTAGTACCATGTTTTGAATATGTTTACAAATATTCTGTTCAATTTTGTTTTGGTTGGTCTTGTCAACAGCATATGGAGATGGTTTTAAATGTAATAAAATAAATTTGCAATACTTCCTATAATCCTTTAATCTTACTTTTTATTTCTTTTTTTAGGGAGAGGGGTAAAATTAATTTTTGTTTCATATGTTCGGTTTAGTTATACATTTTTATTTTTTCTTATAAACTACTTTGTTTTTCATAAAATGCTTTTTATTATTAATTATGAATTTAACAGTATCTATGAACTCTAAAGGCAGCTAAGCCAATGTGTTTCATCAATGAGTTGGCGGCTACTCAGGAGGAAGGCGGATAATAAGAAAGTACCTTAATGCTTATCATGAGCATCTAAAAGCTTTGGTTCGATTTATCAACGTAAAAGTACAGTATTATATGTTTTTAAGCTTTCATTGTACTGTTCATTTTTATTGTTGGTATTATAATAATGGACATAAATTGCAAGAAAGTACGAATCGAAGCGCTTTAAAAATGTTTTACTTCTCTTGAATTTTAAGTATTTGATGTTCCAGAACTTAAATGGAAAAGAGACATGCTGGTTGCCCCCGTGTTCCATGGCCTGTAACAGCAAAAACTGCACCTGCTAAAGGCTGACTTTTTTTCTCCTCCTCGGTACTTCCTGTTGAAGCAGTGGTGACATACAAAATGTCAAAATGAGGTCCTCCAAAACATAAAGACGTAACTCTCTTGGCTGGTATGTCAACTTTTTGTAAGATGCTCTCTGCGTGGGAAAAAAAAAAAAGAAGAAAAAAATTTTAATGTATTTCACCAATAACTGTTAATTTCACATTTCATTTAATTGAATTATTTTTGTCTTTAGATATTTTATTTCATATTACGTTAGAGAAGGAGCTCAGACCTAAACCGCAAAACTGCCCACAAACGAGTATCGCTCCAAATCTAGTTTTCATCTTAAAAAACTGTATAGCGATACATACAGCCCGTACTGAACGGTGAACACCACTGAACAGAACGGTGGTTCTAGTCTTGTGAAGGCAGCTACTAAAAATTCACTCACAACGTATGGACAGAGTGAATGACCAGCCGCCCCTTCCCCACGTCGAGGGAGAACCCACGGAGGAATTGCTTCTAAATATTTTGTTTAGCATTTAGATATTTTATTTAATAATTTGTTTTATATATTTTGTTTGACAGTTAAATAGCGTTTTTTTTGTACATCTTTAAGATTTCAAATATCATTTAATACACCTTCTTTTTTTCTTCCTTCTTCCTTTTTTTTTAAAAATATAATGAATTGATAAAAACTGTACATTGCTTTCAGGAAGTCTCTGTTTCTCAATCATTTAATACTTAATACGGAGAAATACATATACAAACTCTAAGCAACTCATTTGACTATATGTCCTGGTACCAGACGTTACCTATGCTAACCCTCTTGTCGGACATACGAGAATTATATATTTGAAGGTACTCTGAAAATTCGTTCTAGTATTCCAAGTGCAAGTGAGCCTCCATCCCTTATAAGAAAGAAAACTGAGCCCCGCAGCAGTGCTATCCAAGAAATCAAGTTTGAAGATGATAAGCCACGTGCAACATGAAACAATTCCTTTTTATTACTTAGAAATGTCACATATAATTTAAATAGATTTAAAGCAACAAATAAATATAATTTAAAGCAACAAAGACTTTTTGCTCGCAATGTACTTTTCAAGTCTTTTCTGATAGATCGTTTTAATAATTCCAGCTCTGCTTGTAAAAATTATAAAGATTTAGCTTTGTATTATTTGGGATGAGTCAAAACTTTCTGCATTGAGTTTACTGGGATGCATAAAGCATTAGAATAGAATATTTTCATTAAGAATGTATGCCTGTTTAACTTCGATGATTGGTGCTTAAAGGACACTATTGGACAATGTGGGCAAGTGGCTAATATTCACCATAGACACCTGTAACACACACTTCACATTAATTTTTTGGGTCATTTCCCAAATGTTGATATACATTTAGCATATGGAGCTGCCATTGGATATAGAAGAGGTACCGTAAGACAGTGACATAACTGGTCCTGTACGATAGGTTTGTCGAATCACCAAAAAAAAGTTATATATTTACATCAACATATTTTTAAATGGTACATTCCACGTAAAAATAAAGCTACTGTAAAGCTACTATATATTTAAAGATTTGTGTACTAAACTGATTTTGTAATTTTATTTTCATCTAGATGTAATTTTTGCTAATTTTGACTGATTATTATTATATTTAATTATGCAATAAATGCCATTTATAAAATATATCTATTTTAATTATATTTAATATATAATTTCCATTTAAATTACTACTCATATTTGTGTTTGGTTAAAAACGCAGGATTCGAGTGAATTAAATTATTTAGATTACAGCGAAGCACATTACAGCAAACTACCTAAATGCTCTCTTAAAAGACTTTCCAAGGATAACTGGCTTCATTAATGCTACAGAAAGAGAAAGCCAGTGCATCAGGATTCGAACCTGGGTAGAACACTAGTATTCAACGATCTTAGCAACTGTTATGTAGTTAATTAAATTAATTTAAATAATCAAATGTTATCCCAAATTTTATAGATACATTCAACAGTAATTGTTTATTTTAATTGAGGGTTTTAAAGTAGTTTTAAGAGCTTATTTGCTCAGTTAATTATTCATTATAAAATTTAACTTCTGTTAATTAATTTGTTTCTTGAATTTAAACCCAATAGTTTCCTTTATTTTAGAAGGTTAAAAGGGTTATTCTGTTTCTGGCTAGGTTGTCGTTAAGGATGGGAGAAGCTTGAAATTTAGTAAAGAAAAAGGTTTAAAAAAATTTAATTCGCTTGTTCTTGGCGTGGGTGCTGAAAATTCTCACATCTTTTGGGGTGTCCTCTAGAATGTGACATGCTCTACCCTTTAAAACCTGGGTGCAAGCTCGAGAAAACGAAGATTTTTCTACCGATTTTCACGACTATCATATTTGCGCCACTTTTCAGGAACGCACGCAGAAAGAAAAAAAGGAAAATGAGCGTGCTTAAGGTGGAATGTCTTGCCACCGATGTTCCACCATCGAAATTTCTACGATAGAAGCTCAGCTTCTGATTATAACAAATTTAGGAGTCTTCCACCTCGCTTGTGAAGAATCGGATCCACTGTCTTACCACCGATGTTCTACCATCAAAATTTCTACGACAGAAGCTCACCTTCTTATAATAACAAATTTAGAAGTCCTCCGCCTTGTGAAGAATCGGATTCTATTGCCAGATGACAGGTTACGGAGGACGGGGGCGCCTGATGTTTAACAGAGGTAAACAGGCATGTGTCCACGCTCTCCCCTACCTAGAAGCAACAACTCCCTGGAGCCGCAAGAGGCCAGAGTTTATTGAGATATCAAAATAAGTTTGCTCTCGTGGCCAAACGGGAGCGTCTTAAGGATACTTGGTAGACATACGATTTGGCATCTTAATGGTAAGACATACATGCAGCTTAAGCACGCACATTTGAAATACATGACAAATAAATACACACAGAAGTAAACACAGTTCAACACACAATATAAAAAACATAACAGTACGCAATAGAAAGTACACACAATACGACATTAAACAGCATAAAACATATACAAACATTACGTTAAACACATATACAAACATTACGTTAAATACACACATTACATTAAACACATAAAACTTATATAAGAAAACGGAAAACACACGAGAGCACGTGAGAATCAAAACGCACTATGTTTAACATGAATGCACGTAGGAACATTACGTTTACCATGCGGAACAAAATGCAACGCTATACATGGGCAGTAGATATTTACATTGATGTTGATGCTTATTCGTACAGAAAGTTAAATTGTGCGATCCTATTGACAGGTTCCCTGTGTCGGATGAGGTCCACCGAGATTTCCTTGAGTCCAGCCAGAACAGACTTTCCCGAATATCACCCTTGAGAAAAGGGCAGCCTTTTAAGCTTTGTTCGGTAAGCCTCTACAGAACAATACTGATCTTTTATCAGAATAAATTCACTGTTCGTCCCCATGCAATAGATAAGTGCTGGATCGTTCTTCTTTTTTGTGCCCCCCCCCCAACTAAATTAATGTAGTTATCTATCTATTAAGTCAGCAACAGATACGATTGTTATTTTGTTTCTCCCAAATGGCAGGCCCAAGTAAGACCGAAAGCGGTGGTCAATTTATTATGGAGGCACATAAAAAGTGGACCAGTGTTGCCTCTTATGAGGGGACGGACAAACACATGTATGCCTTTTCCGGGATTCGAACCCGAGAACTTCGGTATGGCAGTCAGAGTCACTAACCACTTTCCCCTCAGGACGGCTCATTAGAAAAGTTATGTAATTCAAAAATAACAATCAGAAAAATGTATTAAATTTTTTGTTATGCAAATCTTATGAAATCCTTAAATCAAAAATATTCTCCTGGGAGTTTTCACCCGTATTATACGTTAAAAGGTCTAAAAATAAATCGATTTAATTATGATTTATAAGAAATCTGTTTTTCTTATTTGCAGCCACCAATACTCTTGCTAATCAGGGTTGCTATCTAAAGTAATTAACAAGTTTTTTTTTCTATACAACACAACGTAGTGTCCATTTAAATGATGTGTTTCGTAGGTTAACAAGAACCAACACAGAACGTAACTGGGGCTATAAATGCGGGAGATGCATGAAACCGTAGATTGAGGACAATAATTTGTATTCTGCTATTGTCATAAAATTTGCTACTGGAGAAGAATTTACATACATTTTTCTGCAAACGCCTCTGGTTTTCTTTTTATTGAAATTAACGCTAACATTCAGTTGAGCTTCGCTGTCTATCCAACTTAGTTAGATTTATATTAGTGTACAAATTATGCTGTAATTCCTTTTCAATAACTATTTATGTTGTAATTGTAGTCAGTATTAAAATATAGCACCAACTGCAGACTTTTTTGAATTGATGAAGAATTTTAAAATTATTGTATAAATATTTTAGTCTCTTAAATATTATAATAGCATCAAGCATGATCAATACAAAATAATTATGTTATAGTTTATATTTCAATTATACCAACTTTTAATAGGATCCAAGCGTAAAATACAGCCTCCTGCATAACATGCTACCCACAGTTTTCCTTCTATATCTATAGTCATACCATCTGGGACACCCAGGTTTTCGAATTCCTTAGTCTCATAGTCGAAAAGAACTCTTTGGTTGCCTAAAATAAAGCATTTCATTTGAAAGGAAAGTTTATTAAAATAATACAAAAAGAATTAGAAAAAGTATAAGTCCATCATATATTTTATATCTCTATAAACAAGCAATAAAAACAGAGTTAATAAATAAGTATTAATAAATAATAGTAGCATTATAATTGGAAAAAAATTATATAAGAAAAATGGCTAAATTTTACTGTTTTGACCAAACGTATTTGGGAGTTACATAACAGAACTAGAGGAAAAATGTTTTAAAATTAAAAAGTATCACTGGCCACAATTTTGGTGAAATTCAGTCCAACTTTATGGGTTGGAACTGAGTTCTAACGGATAAAGATTTAATGTGCTCCAAAGAAATTACAGCCAGAGATAACTTTCAGCTTTTTTTTGCTTGATATGTAAGAACTTAATTTTGAACCTCCTGTTTTGTTTCCTATTGAACTGCACAACTTTAGTTTTTTCAAGTTACAGCAAACTTTCTACATTAGACAAAATGTCACATATTATGTAGTCAGAAATATGGAAAAAATAAAATAAGTATTTCGTGTCCTTGTGTGCTGAAGCGACACTCAAAAGACATGAGGCAGATTCGACCCGTAGCTAATGTCCGTTTTGGTGCAAACGGAAAGACGCAGCAAAAAATTGCAAAATTAGTAAACGTTGTTTACATAAAAAAAACTGAATGATGTAACATTTACACTTTATTTACATTCATTTACAATTAATTATCCATCCGTATAATAAATTAGATAATTTATGTAGTCGCAACAATATGACTTTGGATTTTCTTTTAAATATTAACTAATGGAAATGAAGGTATTTTTACATGGAAGTGAAACATTATATCTTAAATGAAAGAGGAATATTTTATGAATCCAATCATGTGCCTCAAAAAAAAATGTTGACTAACTTTAAAATACTATATTTTGTGCATTTTCAATTTGAAAAATTGCCATTTTCTGCATTTTTTGCCCTTAATAATAATGTTTTCGAGAATTTTAATGGCAGAATATTGAATGGTAATTTTTAAAATCACTAAAACTTCCATTTGTGAACAAGCATTGCTTCTAAATTTACGAACACGATACAAAACTGTAAAACTTCCGAATACACCTTTTTCGTCCTCAATTATTTTTAGGCGTGATAATCACAAAGCTAATAATTAGGGAACATTTATTTTCATTTTAAAGCTCTGTACAGTACATGTATTTTTACAAAGCTAAATAAGTCTCACATCAATGTGAGCCATTTGACTCCATATTTTCTTTCTAATTTTACTGCTATTAATTATTAGCACTGCGTCATACTTCATACAGGCATGAAATACGTGGCGTATTATAAGTGCAGTTGAAAATTATAAGCACAGAACAAAATTGCACAAATTTTAAAACTCCTAAACGCATTATTATCGATATTTTTACATTCTCTGACACGACAGTCATTAAACCAGTGGTTAGAAAATATTTATTTTCATTTTAAAATTGTAATTAAGACTTCCTGGTACTCTAATCGCTAAGCTGTTTACTTAAAGGGCAAACCGATAAAGTTGAAATAAATTATTACAAAACTTCAATCAATTATGATTCTATTTTGTTTTCAATTTTTTTTTTCAATTTTTGTTCAACTCCAAATAAGTTTTACTCCTCATTTTCTGATTTTAAAGGTCAGCAATCTATACTAAAATTTACGGCTAAGCCATACAGTCACACACATTCAAATATCGTAGTACTAAAAATGGTGCGAGGTATGTTTCGGTAAAAGTAAAGCGTTCGCTTACTTCAAAATATCAATATCGAAATATTTTATGTTTCTTAAACGTCGAGATATTTTGGGAACGAAAAAAAATGTGAAGGTACCATTCTGTTTTCGAAATAAAATACAATTTTTGTAGGATAAAAGAGTGTTATTATAGAGAGAAATTCTATAATTTCTGCAATAGCTAAGTTTTGCTGTTATCTCAACAAGAAAGAAGGCTTTAACCAAAGCAAAAGCCTTCGGTTCTCAGTAAAATATGTTTCTGCTCCTTATTTTAATATGATATAAGAGCATATTAGAGTACTATAGGTTTTACAATGTTCTGTTTTATATACTCTTTTTCCACCGAAATTCTCTTGTTGAAGCGCAGTATTTATCGAAAATAAAAAGCCTTTAAAATATTTATAAAAAATAAAACACAATATGAATAAAACATTTACAAAATATTTTTCAAAATTATATCTTCGCTTGCTGTACCCATATATTTTAGTTCTATTCAGCATACTTACTAGCCGTTCCAGATCCCAAATCATAGTCGAAAACGAAAATTTTCTTTCCTTCGGAATCAATATAATACATGGTGTCGTAGTTTAGTGACCATGCAAGTCCATTGGTGAGACTGATATTGTCTGCAAATGGTATGAAATTGTAAGAAGAATCCATTTTATATAAGTGTCCTTGACCTAGTTCTCCTGAAATCATAGAACCTAATAAAAAGTAAAAGATGAAATACTTATTATACAAGCATAGCTTTCATTGCGCAAAATTCTATTTAGCAATAAGTGAGCTTAACGACAACAAATTAAAAAAAAATCAAAATACTTGGATTTTACATCACACATTCTGAAAAGTTGCAAGTTTCATTGCTTGCATGGCAGAAAGAAAACAATACTTGAAATATCAAAATAGGATTTGATTATCTTTTCAAGAATATTCTTTGAAGTTCAAGTTTCAATCATTAACTGTAAGATTCAGTAGCATCTGTTATCGTAGGAAATGCGTCCTTAATTTTCTAAAAACATACCCTGAGCTAATTTCTGTATATATCTGCGATTTGTACCTTTCTGAAAAGTTATTTAAAGATAGCAGATACTTTATAATTAAGATGCTTGATAAATTGTATATTAATTAAGACCAAGTTTTTTTTCTACATTCCGTAGTAGAAATTCAGTTTCCTCCTGTTGTCCTTTTATCTTTTAGATTACATTAATTTACTTTAAATTTGTGTTTCAAATTCACTAAATTTATGTTTTTAAATCAGTTTTCAAGTTTAAATGCTAGACATGTGCAAAGACTCGGGTTTAGAATACTAAGTCCTGTACATCTACGGAAAGCAGGCTACTTTTGCGCTGCTTAAGCTCAGTTCTCGTAACTTTAACATAAAGATAGATATTTATATCTTGACTGTTTCAATTTGAAATTGGAATACGAACTAACATTTCCATTTGAAACACGTAATATGATCTCTCCTGATGCGTTCATCATAGAGCAGTGTTTGTAATATTAAAGGTGTCATGTCTCATAACAGATATAAAATGCTGTTACATTAAATTCTTCCCGTTGCAATAGATTAAATGTGTTGACGGTATTATCATAGATTTATTGTTACAGCTTTGACTTAATTAAAGTTGCTGTTTTAACTTAGAAGATTTTATGATAACATTTTGACTCAGATGTATATTTTCGCAGGCATTTTTTTTTTCAAGTTTTCTTCGTTTTAAATAATGGGGACCCTCAGAAATAATCAACGAAATTTTATACAGTTTTTCTTTGCATAGAATTTCGATTTGCAAAGAAACATTTTCATCTTCTACACAAACTATTTCCGAAAATATTACTTTTTATTTGTGAAAGCATTTACTAAAATTTTCTAGAATTATTAAATTTCTAGTAATTCAAAATAAATTCCATGATCCTACGAAACCAAATCAACGAACAAATTCTGTGTATTACAAATCTTTACATTTTTCCTCGATGAATGGTTTCGGCAAGTTACATACCATGGAAAGCGAACTATAAATAAGAACTCCTTTCTTATCATGAAGTTTTAATTTAAAATGCTGGAATAATATTCCCTATTTTATGTTTTTTTTAAATTATTATTTAAAATTATCATTTATTTTATTATGTACTTCGAAATTAGGCTGCAATACACGTAAAGAGAGGGATGCCCCATGGAGGACGTTTTAAAGGAACTGGCTCGTGTCCACGTTACACATGGAGAAAACAACGAAAACACCCATGCAGCTAGTCCGTTTCCCGGGACAAGAAACCCGGACCGAAATACCTACTCAGTGGCTTTAAACGCTCAGCCGCTCATGGGCCTATTTTTGCCTTAAAATTCTGTTTTTTTACAAAAACGATTTGCGAACAATGTACGATTCTGAGAAGCGATATATGAATTTTTAAGGAAATAAAGTATGGGATTACTTATAATTTCATGAGCCGTGAAAATTTTATAACAAAATATTTCATGAGCAAATGATATCAAATATTGTTTCACTGAAATACAGATTATAAGGTATTTCTCCTCCCTTCTTGGCATGCCTTCGTGGTGTGGTGGTCTGCACGCTGGGCGCGTATTCCAGAGGTCTGTGGTTCGATCCCGGCGAAGGCGTTGCATATTTTTCATCTTTCTTGCTTCCAAAATACCTAATGTCTCTACAAAATAAAATCATTATATAAGGTATTTCTCCCGCCTTCCTAGCGTGCCTTCGTGGTGTCTGCACCCTGGGCCGGTATTCCAGAGGTCCGTGGTTCGATTCCCGGCGAAGACGGTTGCTCATTTTTCATCTCTCCGGCTTTCTAATGTCTCTACAATTAGACCAAACTATAACATAAGGTCATACGGTTGGAAAGATCCTACAGATAACAAGGAATTGAGACACAAAGAGAGATAAACATGACATCCCCCGACGCAGTAGAAAAGTCTCCCAAGATTAAATCCTCTTCTCTTCCTGTTCATATTATCTACCAAAGATCAAAGATGAATTATTACTAAGCGCCTTTAGATTAAATCTAACTGCCTCTACATCATAAAACTGAAACAGCGAGCCGAATTAGAAAAAAATGCATGACAGATGTTAAGAAAAAATATAAGAGGTAGTCATCCGTGACTTGAGAAAGTTTAAGGAGAGAAAAGAAAACTTTTAAGAATATTAAAAGATTTTAGAAGTTAAAAAGTAATTAGCGAGTTTCGAAATCGCGACATAACAATTACAAGACTACTGCGCTAACCATCATACTAGATTATACAAAAATAGTCTTGATTTTTATAAGGGCTTTTTTCTTAAAAATTCACTAAAGAGAAAGGAAAAAAAAGCGATTGAGATTAATGTGCTGATAGGTCATATGGCCATAAAATTTCAATATAGCAGGTATGATAATCGCGGGGAAGTAGACGTGGCAGAATTGAATCTGCGGGAATAGATTTGAATTAGATGGTGAACAGATTAATAATAATGCGTGATGTTTTGTTTAAGATGAATGAAAGAGTTGTAGTTGATTTTGATAGCATCGCAGGCGAAATCTTAAGCATTTATGGTGTTGAATTTATAGCTCCATGAACGTAGTCCAACATAATATTATTTAGCATTGCTTGATTGAAATACGCTTTCTTTCTTGTTTGTATTAGTTGATTAAGGTAAAACACGCGGTGAAGGCTATCTTTATAGACGGAAACTTCATTGAGGATTTTCAAAAGGAAACTAGCTCCCATTACAATGGAGAAATACATATTCATATAACATTGGGAAAAATATAGTAACGCTCATTCGGACAGTCAGTTCGTTAGCATTCTAATTCGGGAAGAACTCTCAGTGATCTTATCCATTCCGGCACTAGTAGGCCAAGATATTCTCGTAAATCACAATGGTAGTGAGTCGGAAACTGTCTTTTTGAAATCTCTATATATATATTTATCGCGTGTTCATCCAGCTGTGACATGAGTTAACTTTCCTGTATGTCTAAATAAATCCTCTTATTGATGTATAGATGTCTGTCATATCAGTAAAGATGGGCACGTTGAACGTTTATGAAATACTATATAAAAATAACTTATTGTTTCCGTTGCAGTGTAACAGAATTTAGTATTATAAGATATTTTTTCTCTCCTTTCTGCATGCCTTCGCAGTATAAAGATAGCGAATTCGGTGTATATTCGAGAGGTCCAAGTTCGAGTCCCGACGAGAGCACTGCACATTTTTCATGTCTCCTGCTTCCAAAAAAACTGAATCAGCGCGTATTCGAGAGGTCCGTGGTTAGAGTCCCGGGGAGGGCATCGCTCATTTTTCACTTCTTCTGCTTCGAAATAACTTATTGTATCTACAACTATGATCATAGATTTGCAAAAAAGAAATATGATATGGGATGTATCAATATTGAACTTCCACGAGTAATTTTAACTTCAGAATTACCTATAGCTTGTAGACCATATAGAGCATCTCCTAAAGATAATACTGAAATTAAGAAACAAGCAGACGAATTGTTAAATGCAAGTATAATTAAACCTTCATTCAGTCCTTATGCTGCCCCTGTAACTTTAGTGTCCAAAAGAGATGAAAATGCAAGAAAGATGCGTTAATTTCTAGACCCATTTTAACTTTATTTAATCCGGAATATCCATGTCATGTTATTTGTAGATGCATCTATAGAAGCTGTTGGTGCAGGTTTGAAACAAGAGCACCCAGATGGTAATTTACACCCAGTTGCTTTCCATTCTAGAAAATTAAGGTCTTACGAGAAAAATTATACAATTACTGAACTAGAGTGCTTAGCCATTGTTGATGCCATTTACTGTACATACTGACCATTCTGTCCTAGTTTTGCTTAAGAACATTAAACATCCCACAGGTAGATTACATAGATGGTCATTAAAATTATATCCATGTATGTCTTTGATATAAAATATAAGAAAAGTTCTACCCATATTGAAGCTGATATATTAACTAAAAATCCTATTTGTCAACATTTGAGATTGTAATTATCATTAGAAGAAATTAAGGAGCATTAAAATTTAGATAATGAGTATAATCCTAGGTATAAGAAAATTAATGATGTGTTAACTATAACTGTGTGTTAGCTGTAAAATATATTTTATCAAAAGAAATATTTCACAGTTCTGGAATTTTCCGCAAAAATATTCGTACAGCTTTTACAATATCATAGAATACAATTATCAGTTACACTTCAAACTACTAAGGACGTTAAACACAAATCAATGCAAAGAGCATTTGAAGAGCGAAGCTAACACGGAGATATTTCAGCACTCCAAATGATGCTGAACTAACTATTCAGAAACTGATACTCTCTGCGATCTTATATAATTTTGTCCCGGCCGTCGAGAAATCTCTAGTACTTTCTGCATCTTGAAATTGCTGGAAGGCATATGAAGGCGGGATATGGTTGCAGCTAATATAGGAACAAATTACAGCTATTCAATTACAGTATCCATTACAGTTACACAGGGATTGTACCAAAATGTCGCTAAGTTTGGCAACTTTTGACGATTTCTCACCAAATTTGGCGACAAAATTTAATCGCCAAAACCGTTGCCAGCTGGGCGATATCTCGCCAAACTAACGGGATAGCCATTTGCTCAATGTTAAATAGACTTGCTTCTGCTTTTTTATTTTAACGGCAGAGCATCGTTTCTCTCAAACTTCTCACGTTTCTCTCAAACTTTCTCATGATACAGAAAAATGCAACAGTTTCACATAAAATTTGACTTAACTTATTTATACATATACAAAATTCGTAACAATATCATTTCAAAAGACAAAAGCATTGTTTATCTTCCAGCAGTTACAAAAAGGTAGTTTTTCATTTAGATTTTACAATGGCAAAAATAAATTCTAAACTCGTAAATGGAATTTGGTATGAATTAGCTACCTTATGAATGCTCATCTGCATTGAATCGGCTAAATTTGAAAAGTAATAGATGCACAAACGTAGCTCTAATATATAATCTATTTGTTACTTACAAGGTACTAAATATGCGAAAGTGAGGATATGATATGGCTATTATCATACATGCAATTCTTAGAAACTTGACTCTGATCTTTGATAACTTGTCTAAATAATAATAATAATAATAATAATAAAACTGGAAACCCACAACATCTAGCAATTTGAAATTTTGCTGGTGTGTAGCATATGCTCCCTGTCCAAGTGGGGAAAAAAAAAAAAATATGGGCGATACAAAAATTGCTAAAATGGGAGTTTGAAAATCTGATCGAAAAGAAATCGGAGCTTATAAGCTACACACAGTGGAATAGCTTATGATATTAAGAGTGTGATCTTAATGTGTGCAAGGTAGGTATCAACAATTTCCTTTCTGGTGCATTGCTTTATCTCCGCAATGGATCTGCTAGAGGTCCAGAGTTTGCTGCTCAGTGTAGCAATTCACTTTTTATTGTTCATTCAACTATTAATTACTTTTTAAATCACTCTTAGACTGTTAATATTATGCATGATAAGAAATTATTATAACTGAAATTGTTGATTTCTCGAAGGACAGTAAGCTATGAAAGTATGTTGAAGAAAGGCATGAAAATATATCTTGTTGTTGCTATCTTGTCCATGAATTTCACGGAAGAATGGTTGCCAGAGCCTCAAGGAAGTTGGACTTCTATTTCCACACCAGGTTTGAAAGAAAGCATCCGGGGGGGGTGCGAGGTTCTACCATCTTCTTCCTTACCACCAATTCATACGAATGGACTTTCGGCTCGCCATATATTTAAAATGCTCCCACGCATCAAAGGCACTATACATTTACAAACATACATGCCTTCTCCTGGATTCGAATACGGGACCTTCGGGCCACTATACCGTCTGGGTGGCATGCAGATGTGTTTCAGTCTTAAAATTTTCTTTTCGGCGTCATGTCAACGTTACTTCAGAGCAGTCATTTGTTACTTTTTGTTGAATGAATTTAAAATGCTTATATTTAAAGATAAAAACGTATATTAATGTCAAAATAATCAAATACCAAAGTGATCTTTAAAGCTTCTTTCGAATCAGTCTAAAACACTGCTTTTACGACCGTTGCAATTGGAAGCTAGAATATTATTAAGTCGTAAAAATAACTAGCCGGCTACTAAGTCTTAGAACTAATACTACTAAATCGTAGACCTACGCTTGGCCGCCCAACCGGTACAGTGGTGAGCGTCGCTGACGGCCGTGCCGAACGGCCCGGTTTCGAATCCCGGAGAAGGAATGGACGCTTGTAAATGTATAGTGTCAGTGCGGCATGGCGGCACTCTAAATATGCAGCGAGCTGAAAGGTCTTTTGTGTGGTTTGGTGGAAGGGAAGAGGGGTGGGAGACCTTCAGACCCGTCCTTCCGCGGTGCTCTCCATCAAAATTGAGGGAGGGGCGGAACTGAGCTAAATCACACTATCACCTGAATGGTGTTCAAGACTGTTGCCAACGGCAGGCGCAATCTAGCGCTCCTTGCCAAGAGGAATTTCGTGGGCTTGAGTTGACTGCGTCAGACAAGACAGCATAAACAACAGCAACAGAACTACGTTGCCTACTAAGTAGTTGTGTTTAGCAGCAGAATCCTTGATATTTCTCACTTTTCTGAGTATTTTAAAGATCGTAATTTACAACGGAGAGTTTCCCAGACCATGCGAAATTTAAACGAGGCATGTGTTTCCAGTTCTGGTGGTTCTGTTTCACTCAGCTACCAAATTGTTTAACAGAGTGAGCCCGCTGCCACCGTATTTGTTAGTGGTTGAACTAGCGAAGACGTATGTTTAGGCTGGATGCCCTTATAAATCTTTATAACATTTCTGCGTTTAGGAATTTTACAACTTGCAAATAAAAGTATCACTGATTTCGCTTAGATTTATCATTTTTGATAGCCTGAAAAGTCATAGTCCTATGACTTACCTGTCCACAACCGGCCTTTTGCATCGCATTTGCCATCATTGAAACGAGACTTAGGTCTATCTGGTTCGACAGTTCCTAAAACTTCGGATTCTCCAGTTGCAAAATTTAGTTTCCTTACTTGCTTCGTCACAGTGATCAACAAGTTAGAAGGATCAGACTGATAAGGTATTACGAACGTGGTAATTCCATCTGAAGAACAATAAAAAAATAATGCATTAATTGTATATACTTACTGTCGCATATAAATTTTAAATGACATTACTCTCAATTACACAGTGACACAATTAGTAGTTTAAAAATGCATTTAAACTACTTGATAGTCCCAACATTACTTTATTTTTTTGACGAATAATTTCTTGGACGTACCTTAAGACGTTTGGTTTTCATAATACTATGGGTGCTATAAGTGCCCCACAAGTTATACGCGAAACACATCTTTAAACAATAGATGACAGTAAGAAAGCGACGAGACCGGTGTTAGGTGAGCAAGAGACGGGAAAGAACGTAATTGCGTGTTCAGCAGCTGGGGCATTTATAAATTTGGCTCCTTTTGTAAAAAGCTAATATATTCAAAAAAGTTTCATAAATTTTATAGAAATAGTAATAAATATTGATAGTCATTTAAATTAACAAAAAAAAAAAAAAAAAAAAAAACAGCTTCGACATTCAAAGTATTCCAGGTTATGATTGCGGGGCTAGCATGGCTGGAGTGCACAAAGGTGTGGAAGCAGTTATTTAGCAAAAAATGACTAATTCTAAATACATTTCTTGTTCGCCTAATCGTTTAAATTCAGCATGCAAAACTGCCGCTTTTAATTCAAGCTTGTAGATGTTTTTCGGAGCCGTGCGGAGTATCTATAATTTTTTGTATCTTCACAGATTGGATCGGAGGCACTTACATCCGTTATACATATATTGAATGTCGATACGTTGTTCATGACAAAAATTTTTAGAATTTAGGGAAAGCACTGAGATCAAAAATTTAGGGGCGGCAAAACTTTGGAACTTAGCAAGGTGCTTAGTAGCAGAATTTAGGACCCGCAGAGACTTCATTAAGCTGTGAGATATCTAGCGCCGGCCCTCGATAAGCTTTAGGTATATGTGGGAATTTATTTTTTCATGACTCAGATAAACTTTGAAAGCATGTGCAAGAAATAGACGTAAGCATAATTAAACTAAACTAATACAGTTCAGGCTTAATTGTCTCAGTGGACGACAGAAGTAAGACAAAAGTAAGCTGAACTTGTCTTTCGCCGCCAAACTCATGACACATATCAGTGCTTAAATTGCTCCTCAGTTTTAAGATAAATTACAATTTTAGCCGGAGCGCACCCTAAATAAGATGAGCTCCGGTACTTCTTTTTATAAAACTGAACCACAATTTGAACGGGAACAAAATTTAGAATTCCTACGTTTTAGTTTAACAATAAGCAGGCCTTGCAATACTTTATTTCCCTAGAAATACGAACTCAAGAGAACATGAGACGTTCAAGTAAAGTCCCCTCACTCACATGCGGAAACCTTTACCTTTAAGAAGGGCAATAAATTTGGGGGAGTTTGTTTAGAAACGCGTAAATTTCTCGTTATGCCATCGTATCTAGTGTATTGTTATCGATGCTTACAGTTAGTGATCCTCGCAGGTAGGAAAATTTGTGTTCTTAAATGTGCGTTACGTGACAGCGAGTACAATAAGAGTGAAATGCTGAGATAAACTGCTCAAGCACATCCTATACATCGTCTTCCCACAGTATCCACTAATGGGGAGGGAAAGCGTAACCAGAAACTTTACATTCATCCTTAGGAGTCAGATTCAGGACTCATTTTACCCCTGACATACATCTGCTTGATGGCTATAATTATATCAGCAGAGAGCTGCGGCCAAAGAGAACGCTCTCTCTCACCAAGATTCCCCTCATTTTTTGTTTCCACCCACTCCTACCCTCATTCTGCTTCGCTCTGGAATTTTCATCAACTATACTTTGAGTATTTTTAATTTTTATGATGATAAAAGAACTTCCCCTCCTATGATCAGAGCTTACATTGGGCCGGCGCCTACCGGATATCGGCTCCGGTGTTTCTTAGTTTTTGTAATAAATCATAATTCTAGCCGGAACGCACCGGAGTCCTGAATAAGAAGGCTGCGGCACTTCTTTTATGTAACTGAATAAAAATTTCAGTAGAAATTTTATCTCGAAAGTTTTATTTTAACAATAAAATTATATTAAAAATCGCGTTATTAAATTTCAATTTATCTCTTTACATTTTATTAAATTAATTATTTAATTACTAATCTTATTTCAATAAAAATAATTAATTATCTAATAATTATCTATTAAATTACAATAATCAATATCTAATAATTATGAATTAAAATATAATTAAAATATATATAATAATATCGATTTTAAATATAATTAATTAATTACACAATAATTATTGATTAAATAATATAATAGCTATTAATTTGATAATAATTAACTATTTAATTGTAACATTATTAATGAGTTTAATAGTCATTTTATTTATTTAGTTACTCTTGTTCCTCTTTGCTGACGGTCTTCCAAAGGGCTCCGGAACTTCTAATCTTAGAAATTAAGCCCTGATACATAGCTAGTAATGTATAGCGGACGCTATTGAGCTAGGATAAAATTATACTTTACTGATTCTAAGGAATTTTAGTTCATACAGCAAATTGCACTGTTTTTTTAACTTTTTGATTTGATCTATCTTATTATTTTTTGCGGGGTGTTATTATTACAGCAATTTTATGAAATTAAAATCTGAACTTTCTGTTAAAAAGAGTTTGTAATTCTAGAGCTGCAACAGGATCTACAAAGCGAAAGCATGTTTCGATGTCCATTAAAAAAAATGTGGAATTGCTGCAAAATAATGGCAGCACAAAGCAACTTAAACCACTTACACTGAAAGAAATATTTAACAAAGTAAATAAATAAATATTAAGCTTTTTTTTTGTAAATTTTGATGCCCTTTAGATCATAAATGCTTCATTATTTCATAAATCACAATTTCATATATTTAATTTTCTAATTTCTACATACCATCTTACTATATTTAAAAATACTGGTCTAATATCCGGAAAATTTCCAAATCCGGGATCGTCGAAGTCCCGACGAGTCCAGATCTTTGACTTTGTATATCCGTCTCAAAATTATGCGTGGAGTATGGCATAAGAAAACAGAGAAACGAACTTTTTGAATTTTTTGTGGATTCTGACACCCCATTCGCAATGAATAACAGAAAAATTATTCTTTTATGCTAAAAGTGACAATCATGACAAAGTGATGATTGAAATTGAATGGGTCAGACAACGCCGTAGCGAGGGCGTGCCATTGACGGTTTTAATGCTAATGGCTCAAGCCAAAATATTTCATGGAGAAATGAACTTAAAGACTTAGTGCACATATTCGACAAGTTGGTTAACCAAATTTAAAAGTTGCCATGGTATGAGGGAGTTAAAAATTTCAGGTGAAACTGCTAAACTATTTGCATATGAATTCATTTAACTCACTAACAGTGACAAGTTATCTCCAGAACAAATTTACAGCGCTGATGAAACTGGTATTTTCTGGCAATATGTTCGGCGAAATACCTTGGCAACCTCTACAGAAAAGGCTCCAACTGCTGTCAAGGATTCCAAAGCGAGACTAACAATTTTAGCATCCGCTAATGCTCCAGGAACGCACAAGTGTAAACTTTTAGTAATCGTAAAAAATACACGACCTCGAGCATTTAGAGGAGTAAAGATTTTCTATATTATATGTTGTGCAAATAAAAGAGCATATATGACACAAGCGTTAATGAATGATTGGTTTGAAAATCATTTTATATGCGAGGCTCGGCAGCATTTGAATTCGATTGGTTTACCTGATGATTCAGGAATTGTCTTGATTGTAGATAGCCATACGGCTCATACTTCACTTAGTGAAAGATAATGTATCCGTATTATTCTTTCCTCCAAACTGTATATCCATCATTCAGCCTATGGATATCGGAATAGTGCGCTTACTGAAATGCAAATATAAAGTACAATTTTAAAGTTCATGTTAAAGTTCTTGAATAATGGCAAGTATTTAAGAATTTTTGAAATTTTTAGCATAAAGTTTGCTGTGTGGACCATCGCAAGATCGTGGGAGGATGTGTCTCCAGATACTTTAAAAAGTGCTTGCCATAATTTAGGACCAGCTACCACATTTCATGGTGAGGATGATGCAGATGATAGCCGTGAATTTGAAGGTTTTCGGATATCGTAAACTAAAGAGGAAATTTTACAAATTAATGCATTTTGCAAAGAAATGTGGAGGAGCGGTAATAAATGAAGATGATAATGCCCCAGTCATTAATCAGTTAACGGACAGCGAAATCTGTGGTATGGTTCTAGATCCAGAAAATACCATTACCGATAGTGAAGAAAGTGACAGAGAGGTTACTGAAAACGAAAAAATTTCGATTGACAAATTAAATTGGAATTCTCGACGCAGTAATTACAAAACCTGAATAAGGCAACTTTGAAACTGAACAAGAAATTATATCTGTCTATAGAATTAAAGAGAAAATATTGGCAGAAAACACAAAGCAACTTAAACCACTTACACTGAAAGAAATATTTAACAAAGTAAATAAATAAATATTAAGCTTTTTTTTTGTAAATTTTGATGCCCTTTAGATCATAAATGCTTCATTATTTCATAAATCACAATTTCATATATTTAATTTTCTAATTTCTACATACCATCTTACTATATTTAAAAATACTGGTCTAATATCCGGAAAATTTCCAAATCCGGGATCGTCGAAGTCCCGACGAGTCCAGATCTCTGACTTTGTATACTTTATAAAAAAGTATCATTTAACAAGAAGAAAAAAAAGATTCGTATCATTTATCATTTCTCTATCTCTGTATAGTATGTGCATTGTATCCACCAAATAAATAAATAAATAAAAATAAAAAATAAAATTACCCGACTTTTATTTTCTCAACCTTTGGTTGTAGACATATACTTCCAGTTAAAAAATGTTTTAAATGAAACAAAGATGATCAGTTCAATGTTTTAAATGAAGCAAACATACTTTATAACTGAAAGAAATAGACTTTGTAAAAATTGCGAAAATTAACTTTTCAAACGTTTTTCTGGTTTCTGTGCTTATATTTAGGAACAATTTAAAAATAAAACACAAATTTGAGTCTCGTATTAAAAAATAGATTGTGATGTTTAATTTCAAAATATGTGATTTTTGACTTCAGTTTGCAATGGGGAGCCGGTTAAATGAATTAAGAATTATTAGAGGTTGAATTTTTTCCGCTTTAATTCCATTCAATAATATTATTTTACGATTTACTAGTGTCTTTAATTTGTAATTTTATTACATTTGGTATGCCGTAAGAATTTTCACAGAAATAATTTGTAAGTTTCCAAGGTCTAAAAATACGCTATTAATGCTCTCATGAAGTTTTATTTCTTTAAAACTTTAATCTGGTAATCGAACAAAAAATTCATTACAGCCATGTCGAGAGTGCAAGTGAATGTGGCACTAGTTTAAACTTTGAAAGAAAATGCGAATGCACAAAACTGAAATTTAATAAATTAAATACAAATGTGTGGGGAATAGTAAAAAGAACTTGAAATGCGCGTTGGGTGTTGAAATAGAACAGCGTGGATCTGGATTCCATGTATACCCTTTGCCTAGAACGAGTAATATTTAGCTGTTAGTTGTTGTAAGAATGCATATAAGAATCGGAATTCGAACCTATTCCTAGTATTAAGACGTCTGGCTGATATAAGCACTTCAGTGATAAGTAAAGCTTTGGTTGGCAAGACAATTAGAAAAGGAAGAAAAATTATTAACAATTAGAAAGGGAAGACGTCTGACTGATATAAGCACTTCACTGATAAGTAAAGCTTTGGTGCTGAATCAGTTCAATAACTGTTTTAAAGGTGTTATTTAACTTTAATCAATGTCGAAACTGTACGGACAGTTTTAGTGACTGAAATTTCGACACCTTAAGAATCCCCTTCCCCGTTTTTGTGTGAATAAAAATTTATGTGTAAAAATTGCTTATGTAATATTTACAAATAATAAAATATGTATGAAAAAGTTTTTAAATTACATGGTTTAGTTAAAGAAAGAATTAAAGTTTAATACCAAAAGAAAGGGAAAAAAAAAAAAAAAAAAAGGAGGAAAAATGCAAGAACGAAAAAAAGAAACGAAAAGAAAAAGAAAACTGAACTATTACAATATTTTGGTCATTCGATTAAAGAAAAAGGTCCTAGGGTGACTAACAATCAGGGATATTAAAAACCGCCTAACAGAAATTTGATTTGAATATAATCTCTATTATGATTGCCATTTCTATGCTACCATTGTACGTTCCTTAAAATTCTGCTAATATCCAAATGAAGTACTTTTATGGGCGCCCCACAGTTTTGTTTTTAGTTACATATATGACGAAGATCATTATGATTGCTAAAAAAATTATTTTTTACTTTTCAGCGACTTTAACTAGAATGATGAAAGTTATTTGCATATATATTTTATTTCAGATTTTTTCAAGCACAAAAACCCATTTTAATATTTCCATGTGAAAATATTGGGCTTGTGGGAAAGGAAAAAAAATGTTTATTGAAACAGTTACTTTTTTCTTAGTGAGAAAAATAGTAGTCTAATTCAGTAATCAATTATATTTTACATGCATTTGAGATTTGACCTCAATATAGATTTCAATTCCTTACAAGGGCATTAAAATGTTTAGGTTGGGTTCCCTACAAATTTATTCATCCTAATTCTTGCAGATTTTTACTCAGAATTTTTCGTATCTTAAAACTTAGTGTAACACCTATATCACATTTTGATTTAAAACAATGTAAATTTATAACGCAAAATTATATAATATTACAGTAGGAACAACAGCAAGTGTTGTTAAATAAATTTCTATAATTTTCATTTCAGAAATAAAGTGCTACGCTTAATAATAAACTGTCCATACGAGGGAAGCGCGCCTAAAACGCTCCTTCTAAGCCATGACGATATTTTCAAGCTCAAGGCCATTACAGCATTTTCCTCGTATCCAAGACATTTACAAAGCGTCCAATGTAAGGTGCAATTTACAACTTTCATTCTAAACGAAGCAAGATAATGAATTTAAAATATATAGGAGCAAAAAAAAAAAAAAAAAAAAGTGCAAACCCAAATGTACAGATTCCGTAACACCAGTCGCCGGATCCAGTCGGCACACATCACCGACGAAAGCATCAACATAGTATAACCGCTGGGTATTGACATCCCAGTGGGGTCCTTCCCCTAAGTCGCATAATCTCTGTGAAACGGGTCTCACTTCCATGACTAGCATTGGCATGTGTGCTCGCACAACTAACGATCTCTCTTCTCTTAAAGAGGCGAAGGGCACGTCACGTGATTGCAACCACTGATAACCGTTTCGCGATCTCCGGTATTTTTCAATACATCTATTTCGTTATAATTTCATAAGATCCGAAAAGAAATAGGTGCTTGCAAAATATGAGATATTCCTCTTTCAGAACATGCATTAGATATTTCCTGTTAGAGGTGAACGAACGCAAAACTTTAGCTTTATATATTTGGAGTATTTTACGCATAAGATTAACATATATTTAAAAAAAAAGTCTGATAGCTCAGGTAACTTGTTTTAACTTTTTTTTTTTTTTTTTTTGTTAAAGTTTTTATTGAAAGTTTATTTCCTAATTTTATGGTTACGCATAGCAAAAAAGGAGCTTTAAAGCTCAGTTTAAACTTAATATGAAGTAGAAAAGTTTTTAAGTTTATTTTTTATTCATCGAATTAAAACTTATTAAAAGTATTAAAGTATGCGAAATTTCTGTGTAAAGAAATAAAACATTATTCAACAAGTGATTTATTTTGGTACCTGTTTTAATTTGTAAAACGTAAAAACTTAATAATTTTATTAATCGAATATGTTCGCGTTTAAATAGAAAGCTCAGGCTAATCTGTGAGAATGAATAGAGATTTTATTTTCTGCGAGTTACTGTGAGATTTTATTTTCTGTGAGTCTCATACCTAAGTCGCAATTGTATTTTTAAATACCAAATTAAAACTGATGGGAAGTAAAAGGAATGGAGTTGAAAAGCCAGAAATGAATAGACAAAAAACATTACATAAAAGTATTTATTTACATTAAGTTCAAAATAATTATATCAAATCCGAATTTATGTGCAGTCATCAGAGATTAATTTATAAAATTAGAAGTGTCGAAACCCTGTGGAATGAATGCCGTCAGTAAGGGCAAATAAAACTAAATAAAATACAGCATTAAATTATGAATAATTTGAAATTAAGTAAAGTGGAAAGAGGTAAGAAATTAATAAATTTTGTTTCATAAATTAATTTCAGTGTTTGACACTGAAAATAACACTAAATAAATTTCAATCACTAAATAAATGTCAAACACTAAATAAATTTCAGTCAATAAATGTCAAACACTAAATAAATTTCAGTGTTTGAATAAAGCTACTTAATTTGATTACTATTATCATTAAATTAATTAATAATATCGTTCAAAAATATTCAACCTGTTTCTAGTTTTGCGTTTTTCATATATATTTTTTTAAATTTTATTTCCTTGTATTCTCGGATTTTACTTTTTTATATTGCACTCATAGCATAAAAAGTGTGCATATTTTTAAAAATATTATTGCTTTCTATAATATACTAACTAATTTTAATGTATTTTTTCCTTGTATTTATTTAATATCATTTGTTTACTATATGATATTGCTTTATATTGTTAGACGGTTAATTATAAATTTTGTTAATAATTTTTTGTAATCAATGGGATCTTCATTATGCTGATTAACTGCCGGTGCATATTCGGCTATCGAGTCCTATTCGACCCCTTGATCATCACTGACCCGCTTTAAAATTTCATCGACACCCAGGGATTAAGGGTCAATACCGACTCGGTTGGGAGACCCTGCTCTATGCGTTTCTTAAATTTTACGAATCTATCCGTTCCGAATACGAAAAGCTAAAAGATTCTCGAATCTCTGAACCCTTCATATAAGAGTAAAAAAAAACAATGGCCCGGGGGTGGAATCCCATATCTATTAATAAAATTTTTTAATTAAAGCAAAACTTGAGATCTGCGATTAATAAAAGAACAAATTTACAGATCTGTTGAAAACATGTCTGTATTTAATAAGAAGATGCAAATGAATTCGGAAAGGATTTAGTGTTCCATGTTTAATTTCATCTATATTAACTCTTGAAATAAACCTTCCACTCTACTACCAAATCTTTTCCTTTTAATGGGAAAATTATGAGATACATTCCGCAAGAGAAGAGGAAAAATGTGGTCACGTGTTCTAATAACAGCAACATCCGCATGTGTTGTGTTTACAATGGAGTCGATAGCAGATATTCCGCTGAAAGTAATTGATTTTTCGAATTTAGAAATTTATGACGATTGCCAGAAATTAAAAAATACGCTTGGAAATGACTTTCCTTGATGTCAACAAGAGTCTTTTGTTATTTAAGGAAAACTATATGAACAATATTCGTTTCAAAGTAATGCCGTATAGCACGGTACTTATAACAAGCTGTGTGAAGGCCGAAATTATGAAATATCTGTGCAATTTTCTGAAGAAAACGAGGTAAGATTTATAAATTTTTCTTATGCATGATGCTTACCAGTATTAATAATGTTTTCATTAAGAATGTTAAGTGTACATCAGTTAATTGAAAACTATTCCCGAGACCTTGAATAACGCTTTCCAAACTTTTAAATTTAAGTGTAATAATAGTATATTCATAGTTCATGAATAGTTGTTCTAAATTACTGAAATGGCCGAATTCGTGAAAGATCTGTTTATCTGCAAGAACATAAATACAAAGCCAATTTTCTCTTATTAATATTATTTAGTGTCATAGAATATTTCATGCAGCTAAAATTTTATTAATTTCATCGGGATATGTTTTAATATTTTAGCTGTTGTAATTCGTTTTTAATGACTACACATAAATATCGAAATGTTAATTTTTTTAATACCTTCCATTGTAGATATTAAGGATACCAACAGCTGTAATATTAGAAGCATCCGTAATACTGAAACATTTTGATATAAAAGGTTGCTTTTATAAGAATTTATACTTATTTTTATGGATACATTTATACTTATTTTTATAAGAATTTATACTTATTTTTATGGGAGAATTTATACTTATTTTTATATTAAATGTTTATGGGAGATCGCTGAGTTTTTTTAGTTTAAATATTAAATTAGCAGTCCTTGAAAATCAGTGGTTGTGTCAGTCCATAGTTTGAGATAACATGTGCATTAGAATTACACTAGTCTATTTCCTATGGTAGATCTCTTCAATAAATACACTTGAAAATCTGTTTGAGCTACATGATTTTAAAATAAAAAAATTCTGCACATAAATTATGTAACTTACAAGATTAAAAATAACTTCAAATTTATTTTTTGAATATTTAAAATGTATACAGATAGTACTTTATTATTATTTATTATTATAAAATGAAGAAAAATGTATTATGAAAAATTATTAGTTTCACAACTAGTACTGTAGTGAACTCAGTTACAAAAATCTATATTTTTCTTTTTGACATTTATATTATAGTATACAAAATGTGTTATAGTATACAAAATTTGTTTGCAGTTTATACTATCAATAGGATAATAGTCAGTTGCTAAAAATTAAATTTTAAGTTGTATAAAATTATATGTTAATTTTGAACCGCGCAGAACATTGACATCGTTATCCTTACATGATTTAAGGGCCAAACTGCATTTACAATGCTCCGGAAATTTGAGTATTACGATTTTCAGAAACCAGCTATTTATATATACTGTTCTGCTTGTAAAGCGGATAAAATTATGACTTAAAAATATTTATAGTAACTTTATTTTCAGTGTAGAAGAGCAATCTATGTAAACATGATTTTATGTATTCATTTTTACTTTTTTTTATAAATGAATTAATTATCAGATCAAGGAAAGAATTCATAAACAAATATTAACAATATGCAAATTTCATATCTGATTAAAAATAAACAAAGTTTCCGAATTTTCAACACATCTACCGCAGCACAAGCTTGTTTGTTTACATTAGCAGTTCTTCCATCACGTCACCTCCGACGTCACCGGAACGTATCTCATTCTTCATATGCAGAGCTTTTTAATTAAAATTATTCATAATTCAGGATTTCATATAGTGCATCATAATTTTCTCCTAGATGATGTCGTAAGGGTCAAACTGCTTCACTTTTGTTTTTTTTCCGTGGAATGTCTAATAGGAAATTTGGCTCTAAAATGGCTGTATTCTTGGAAAGAGTTGCCCAAAGCTTAACTGGAGAAAGGAGTAACAACATCTGCATTGATTTTTTTTATAACTGCATCATTGACTGTTAAATTTAAAGACTGAGAAGCATATGGAAAGAGGGTATTTCTTTGAATTTGATTTTTGCGTAAAGTTTGAAATCTACCCCCCCCCCATTAATTATTAACATCTTTGTTATGTCGTTGCCTGCTCTTATCCTGAAAGTACCTTAACAATCCTCAACATCCCACTTCCTAATTATAACTGTATATATAAAAAAACCTACAGAATCATCAAGCCCTTAAACTTTGTACATTTTTTGCAAACTTAGAAAGTCATACTTATTGAGAACTTTTAATTTATACTTCTCTGATTGGACTTTCGTCTGATTGGTTGATCTCTACCCGGGACAGAGCTCCAGCCGAAACATTACCGGCGAAGTTTCAAAAATCCCGCGTAGCCGGTACATCGTTTCCGTATCCAGGCGAGACTTCGCTTTCAGCGAAGCTCTTTTTTCTAGGAATCCTCCCGTTTAAAGCAGTGCTACCAGAATCTCGTTTCTCAGAAAAGTCCCGTCTAGCAGGGACTGTCGCTAGATGTGATAAGGACCTTAAGGTGCGGCAAGTATACCTCTAACCCTCCTAAAAGGATTTTCTTAGCAAGTGCATGGAGGAGTTCTGAAAAACAGAAAGATAAGTGAAAATTTATCTTTCCCTCGCAGATTCAGTTTCTATTTTATGTCGAAAACTGCAATAGGAATTCTGTTTAGTCTAAGAGACTAATGTGAGTTTTGAAATTGTAAATTAATTTTAAAAACTTGTATGCCTTGATATAAAGTTTCGTAATTTAATGTATTGTAAATATTTCATTTAATGCAGGATGTCTAATGTTTTTGTATTGTAAGCGTTAAAAGTGCTGCCAAATATGTGTTAAAATAAATAAAAAGTACGTGTAGTTGTAAGAATAAAAATCTTATAGTGTGAATGAGATGTTTAAATGTAAGCTAACACAATAAAAAAAATCAAATTAAAAGTAAAAGCTAGCTGTGCTCATGAAATTAAAGATTAGGCTCTCCAGCCAACAGAAAGTTTAATCACCTATTGTGTAAGCACATTAGTGCAGTTTTGATATTAATTTATTTTTGAGGTCTAGTGAGTCCACGTTTCTAACATGTTGGCTGTGGGTTAGTTGGTTTAGTTTGTAACGTTGTGCCACTTATACAAAAGACAGTGAATCGAGTGCGCTTCCAGTTACACTACGAAGCCACGCGAAAACGAGGCAGGAAATACCTTATGTACACCCCCTTTGAAAGGGCGACTGAGAAACGGGGGATTTAGTTACCAAATCCTAATGGTGCTGAATTATTATCCCCCCTTTAGTTCGGGCGCCACGTTTAGAATTTTTCGAGGCCAAGAAGTAGGAGAAATCCGCAATTGCCCCCCCCCCGGCGGGATTCGAAATCCGGACTTCCCGAATACGCATAGAAAGTGTTTCTAGTTACACTACGAAGTCATGCGGAAACGAGGAAGGAAATACCATAAAAGCTGTTTAAGAATGCTGTCTTGGCTACACAAAAATAACAGAGTAATTCTTTTGATAGGATGATAAGCAGAGAAATAAAGGCCGAAAGCCTACTATTTGGGATATCAGTATTAGACGGACGGATACATTTTTTGGAATACCTTGCCAACCAGTTTCCGAAAAAGGAGGCAAACCCGAGAAGACAATAAAGTTGTTCAGTATAAGAATGCATTCAAAAGCTATTTTAAAAAAATCTGGATTAATTGTGGACAGACCTAGACCTAGTTTTGGCAGCTAAAATGATAAAAATGTGACAAGATTGTCTTTTCCCTGCATCTTAAAAGTAGATGTTAGTTTAATTTTAAGGTCAGGTTATTTGAATATGGCAAAGCTATGACGACTATCACCCTAAGAAGAGGAGTGCCATCGTGGAGGACTTTCTGATGGAAACTGGATCGTATTCACCTTACACATGGGGAAAACTACGAAAACTAACCCTGTAGCCAGCTCTTTCGCCTAGGATCGAATCCAAACCAAATAGAACTACCATTCAGCTATATCAACCACTCGGCCACTGATGAGGCAGTTTAATTTTAGAATTGCACATAATTTTAAAATATTGATCAAGGGATCACCAGATTAATAGCTGTAAATTCAAAGAATGCGCACATAATACGGCCAGATATTTTGTGCTATATTTCACTCACGCTAAAGACGTTTGTGAAATTACATCAGGTATTCCAAATTCTCGCTGCAAATGGATGAATCAATTGACTTCACTGGGTTACGTAGTTTTAATGCGATTTGTTCTTTACGCTTACTCAAAAAGCTATCAAGAGATTCTCCTTGCAGGCTACCAACCAGCATATCAGATGGTGAAATAACTACTTAAAATTTTTGGAAAAATTCTCATCAAATAAAATACCCTGTGAAAAGTGTGCAGAGGTATACATTGAAAAAGTGTAAAGATACTGACGGGGCACAACGGTGGAGCTATTTCTAAAATTAAGGCACAGAAATTTAGAAGGAGCCATTTCATTCTTCTTAGACACGCATAGCCTCGATATAAATGCCTTCTGAGCTTGTTAAATGACACTATAAAAGTCATAAACTATGTAAAATCCCTACATCTTGAAAGCAGGCTCTTCAAACTAATGTGTTAAAATATTGGAAGCTGCTATGAAGACCTGCTGCACACTAAGGGTGGTTGTTTCGAGAAAACATGTTGACAATTTGATGGAACTGTGTGCGGAGACTTAACATAACTATCTGCTAGCGACGGTTTTAAATGATGAAGCTTGGGTATGCGTTAAAACTAGCTTTTACACTGCAACTTACACTACGACTTCCATGTAAGGAATTTTAATCGTTTAGCGAGAAAGCGTAAGAGGTTGGCCAAACAAGTTTTGAGACATTTTTTTTCTCCAGCAAGCGTTACAAGGGTGGCACGGGGCCTCGAGCTTCGTCCCCACAGCCATATTTTTCTCTCGTCCCTTCTTCGTTCTTTTTTTTTTTAACGTTGCTCTCAGTGGTGGTGTGTACATGTACGCAAATTTCATAATTTTCAAGAAAAAATGTTCCTACAAATATAAAATGAAAAATTGAGTGAGCATCTGAAAAAGCTGAATTGGTAGGAGAATAAAATGTGCTGAACTGCGTCCTCGAATGGCAGCATCTATCATGCAACCATGTAGAAATATCGCAAATTGCTTTTGCCGAGAAATTGCTTCTTTATGATAAAAATAGGATCGGCTTTCTGAAAAAGACTCCCCATCACGTTCCCTTGATCATCTAATTTTTGTGCCTTCATATTTAATGGTTGCGGATGGTTTAAGATTTTAAATATGCTTGTGCAGACTTATGGCGGGGGTATTATGGTGTGGGCAATGTTTTCATGGAGAGCATTAGGGCCCATAATCCCCATACAACAGTCCCTGACGTCTGTGCGCTACGTGAACATTGCTGCAGATCAAGTCCACCCATTCATGACAACAGTATTTCCGTTGGGGCATGGTGCACGCTAGCCCCTCGCAATGTGCGGAAATTGCAGGACCGGTTGGTGAGCGCTTCTGGGTGCCGCCAGGTTTGAAGGCTAAAGGTGGTCCTTCATATCATTAACTGGGTGGTCATAATGTACTGGCCTTTCGGTGTATGTATGCCTAATAATCAAGTGCTACAGATGTGATTCAGAATTGAATATGTATATTCTTGGTAAAATATTAATGGTATAATGCATGCAATGATAATTCTGTTTTAGAGGTTAAAAAGTAATAATGGAATTCAGAACATTGTTTTCTTGTATGATCATATGAATATTTCATATCAGGTTTTGTGTGTTGAGAAGTATGTAATTGTATAAATCATATTAAGAACTGAATATGATATTATTTTGTGGTCATGTAATGATATATATATCAGTCTGTAGACATGAAGGATATCAGTGGTTAATGGAATTGCCGGTTAACTTCTTAGGAATGCTTGCATAGTATGTGTATAGTAAAGGTGTAAAGTGAGTATTTAATAACTGATGTCAATGAATATGAAATATATTGATAAAATATTCCATTGAATAATTATAAATGAATATTTTTTTCTATAATAATATATGCATCAGCAATGGTTCTAAGTAATGTAGTATGAAATCAATAATAGTATGTGTATCTGTAATCTATAATGGTAACAATAGGTTAAAGTATAGCAAAAGCACAGTTAAGTAAGTATAAAATGGCAAAAATAAGCTAATGTTATCAATATGTCTTTTGCATCTGCTCTGCCTGCTTTTTCAGGTGAGCATGATGAAAATATAACATTCTTTCTAGACCAAGTAAGCCAAATGGCTAGTCTATTGGCAATTGAAGTGAGCAAAGAAAAAGCCTCGTCTTGAAAATTCAGTTGAGGTGTTAGGCATTACAATTTATAATGGAAAATGAATCGTGTAAAGATATGCCATTTAATGATCTAACAAAATTAGTGAATACCAAGTTTGCAAAATCTCAGTCATTTGACATGATTCAGCATAATTTTACTTCAATCAGACAAACATCAAATCAGTCATTCGAGCAGTTAGCTGACAGGTTGAATACATATGCTGCTAAATATTTTGGGTGTTACCCCAATTCAAGTGAAGAGGTGCACAACCTTACTCAAAAAGCTATATTGAAGATCTCAGACCAGATTTAAGACTGAAAGTTAAAGAACTTGGCTCTACTGATTTTGCAATGCTGTCAGACAAGCAAAAAATTATTGAAAAAGCATTCTGGGATTCTGGTAATAGCTCACAAACGTATGATTACGCTCCTGAAATAAACACGATAATTATGCAACAGATGCAAAATAATAAACCCATTGAGGATCTGTCAAAAAAGTTAATGAATTTGTACCTAATAGTATAACGTATTTATCCCACCTTCTTAACATGCCTTCGCTGTGTAGTGGTCAGCACACTCGGCGCGTATTCGAGAGGCCCGTGGTTCGATTCCCGGCGATGGCGTTGCTCATTTTTCATCTCTCCTGCTTCGAAATAACCTAATGTCTCTACAATGATACTGTAAATAATTTAAATAGACTAGAAAATAATGCTGCTCAAAGTAGGGTCTTTTCATATTTGTCATCAAAATTATTGGACTACTGAGTGTCCTTACTTTCCTTCAAACAATAGTGCTCGATCATATAGACAGGCTAGAGGAAGCTACAGGGGAAATTTCTAGAGGGGTAACTTCATCAGTAAGAGGAATAGATACAATAATAAATATTCTTATGCTTGAGGAAATAGAGTTTAAAACAATAGCCGAAGTATGCCAAACATTAGAAGATATAATGCTCGTAGCAACAATTTACTTGCAAGTCTCCCAGATAAACAAGGCATTACTGAAGTACCCATAGAGAAAATAGGGAAAAACAGACAAAATTAAGAAACTTAGACAAACAAATAGACAAAATAGAACTAAAAAATCCAAGAATAATGTCGAAGAAAGTAGTGAACAAAAATTACTAGCTTCATACCAGACAAATAGTATTACCGAATTACCAATAAAAAAAATTAAATTTGGTGATTTTGTGGTAGCAGCGTAGCTAGATACAGGTGCAAATTTAAGCTTGATACAGCCAAACAACTTGCAATTAATAAAAAAATGATACAAAGATTCATTTCTTAAGCAGGTCTGTAAGAATACATACGATGAATAATGCCACCTGTCATGACGTGATGACCACGCATGCGCAGTTTAGTCGAACGGCTTGCAACGCCTCTCTCTCACCTGACTTACTAGAGAAGAGAAGAGACTGTAGCGAAGTAAGGAAGGTAACCCGCTGTATGCCAACGTAATGATAAACGTGGTTCTATTTTTGTGTAACTCGTTTGTTCTTATTTTTTTCGTGTGTTAATAGTGTCATTAAATGGCTGGTTTATGCAATGCCCACATTCTACGTTAAGGAAACATATTAACGTTAAGGAAATTTATTTTATTCTAAGAGTTACGCTAATTCTCTCGAAAGGCATTCTCGACCCAATGAAAAACGAAACAATTTCCACACTTGGAATTCATTCAACGCCAACAAGTCTTGCGCCAGCTATTCTCATAATGTAAGCAAAATTGCAGCTGTTTGAACGTTCCTTGCATATTTTGTGAAAGCGGAAATCTTGTTTCGGAAAATTGCGTTATGTCCCCGGAAGAAAGAAAAAAAGAGTTTAAAAGCTTCTAATCGGTGCTTTCTTTGTTTCAAAAGGAACTATAGAACAAAAAATTGTTTATCTCAATCAAAATGCTCAAAATGTAATTATAAGTATCATAATATATTGTTGCATGAAGATAAAGAAAAGGTTGCTAAGGAAGAAATTAAGAATAATTCTAACGCCATAACAACAAAAATTGCTTCTAAATATTTTACTGTGAATCAAGAAATTAATGAATTAATCAATGATTTGCCAACTGTTAAACTTATATGTGATGGTAAATTAATTAATGCAGTAGCAGGTACAGACACACAATTAACCGTCGTCAAGGCTGATATCGTACCAGAAAAATACCCTACGCCACATGGAAGTGTTATCCTTACGTCAGCTTTCGGACAATCATTAAAAGCTCCTCTCATTAATCTACCTTTAGTGATGTATTGTAAAGATGATAAATTTATGTCACCTATCTTTATAACATGTGCAATGATGGATAAGTTATGTAATGATTTACTTTTGTCGTTAAGTGCTTTTAATGAGTTAATTGGAGATAATTAAAAAAGTTTAATTTTGAATGCAAAAATGTAAGTATAGTAATGATAATTAATAGTAATGACAGTTTCGTTGAAATGCCTTTTTATGAAACTGAAAATTTTGACGAAATACTTAACCATGATAGGGAAAACCTAATTAATAAAGAGTGTAATGAAACTGTTAAAAAAATAGAATGTTGTGCTCTTGTATATGAAGACACAGGTAAGGATGATTCCAAAGGTAGCACAAGACACGATGAATGTGTTTCGGATTCAGAACTGTTTCGAGTTCAACAAATGAATGACCCATCTTTAAAACATGCTGGCAAAATGCTAAGAACGGAAGTAATAACTTTATTGTTACTGACAACTTTTTGTATCATAAAGATAAAATTTTAGGAGAAAGAGTTCACCAGTTAGTCGTTCCTAAAGAAAGAAAAAAACAAATTTTGGACTTAGCTCATTCTAGCTTATGGGGAAGTCACCTTCGAACCAAGAAGACAGCCGAACGTTGAGAAATTCCTTCTATTGGCCTGAAATCAAGAAAGATGTAAATGAATATTGTAATACTTGTACTTCTTGTCAACTTCAAGCGAAAAAGCGTCTCTTTGATGAAGTTCCGATTACGCCAGTAACACGTCCTAAAGAACCATTCCAGGTAATTAATGTGGATATCATCGGACCGATAGAGCCAAGCTGTAGAAGTTATAAATATGTTCTGTGTGCAGTTGATGAATGTAGAAGATGGCCTGAAGCGGTACCGTTGAAGAATTTGAATGCCAAAGCAACATGCGATGCGTTGTTGTAAATCTTTGCACGCACTGGAATCCCTCAGATTGTTGCTTCGGATCAAGGAACTAATTTTACTGCTTCGTTGAATCAAGTGTTTTTGGAAAGGATCGGATCGTCCCCAAGGTTCTCGACTCCTTATCATACAAGTTCAAATGGCCTTGCAGAAAGATTTAATGCTGTTTTAAAGGGAATGATACATCATACCATTAGGGAACATTCAAAAGATTGGAAGAAACATCTACCATACTTACTTTGGGCTTATCGAGAAGTTCCTAATGCTGCGACGGGTGTTAGTTCTTTACAGATGCTCTATGGAAGACGTCCTAATGGGCCTTTATCTATCCTGACTATCCTGACTATCTATCCTGACTGTCATGGACTGATGAAACTTCTTTTCCTCATGGAGTTCCTCTGTTAAGCTCAGTTACCGATTACCTGAATGATTTGAAGATGAAATTGGAAAAAAACTGCTGAATACGCAGGACTTACAGATGTTGGAAAGGAACAATCTTATGCATTCTACCATAACCGAAAGACTCGTCATAAAGAATTCAAGGAAGGTAACAGAGTTATAGTTTTAATCCCTGATAGTCAAAATAAAGTTTATGCCAGATGGACGGGACCTACTACGATCATCAAGAAGCATATATAGTTACACAGGCATTTGTACTGACAATTCTTCGAAGCATGATCACACAAACAAGATACGAGAGTTCAAGACTGCTGTGAATAAGGTCGGTGTGATATATGATACAGATATTGATTTCGGCGAAGTTGAAAACATTCCAAGAATTGTTTCACGGAAAGCAAAAGAACACTATTCTAATGAAGAATGTGATCTTACGCGCCTTGAACAGCATAAGAGGAAAGAACTTATGGAAGTTTTAAGAAGCTATAAGAACCTAAGAGCTGGTATTCCCAAAATCTTCAATTTTGGAGAACATAACATCAAACTAAAGCCTGGAAGTGTGCCAAAGAAGCAAAAACCGTATCGGATACCTGAAGTTCTAAAAAATGAAGTTGATCGACAAATAGATGAGCTATTACAGCTAATCATTGAATCAGAAAGTAAATATGTGCATCCAGTAGTTTATGTGTCAACAATATGAAACGGTAGCATTATGTGTAGACTAAAATACTATGCTGAGTTTATTGATGACTTGACTTAATTGATATGATTATATTTTCCAGTGAGTGAAGTGTGACTGACGCTATGAACTGTAGGACATTTTGACTATTTAGTTTGAACATTTTGTTTAGCTAAAATGCTATGCTTTTGATTTTTTTTCTAACGTTATGTAATATGTTTAATGATTTAGCCAGGGTTTGCTAAAGTATTATGTTAATTTTAATGATTGATTTGCACTGTCTTGTTTATATGATAAATGCTTATGTGATTATGATGATGTTAAAGATTTAAGTTTGAAAAATTAATTGAATGTTACATCTTTTAAATGATTAAGATTACTGAATTTATGTTGAAGTAATTTTAATTTAAAATGGTAAGAATTTGCTAATTAAGTTCGAAAATTTCATGAATGTTATTTTGTTTTGTTTCAAGAAATGTTTACACGTGGATTTGACAGGTCATTGGAAGACGCAGTCAAATCTTTTAGAGGGATAGGTGTCATGACGTGATGACCACGCATGCGCAGTTTAGCCGAACGGCCTGCAACGCCTCTCTCTCACGTGACTTACTAGAGAAGAGAAGAAACTGTTAGTAGCGAAGTAAGAAAGGTAACCCGCTGTATGCCAGCGTAATGATAAACGTGGTTCTATTTTTGTGTTAATCGTTTGTTCTTATTTTGCTCGTGTGTTAATAAAGTTTTTGTGTCATTAAATGTTTGGTTTTAAGCGATGCCCATATTTAGTGCATGTTCCACGTTACGCAAACATATATCCAGAACCCGCCCAAGAAGCAGAATATGACAACACCCTCCCATACCTATCTGCTGTAAATTTAAAATTTCCTATAAGGAATAAATGGCTTGCCAACCATTTTTTTTTTCACACAGCGTAACTGGAATTCAAAGTATCTAATAATTTTAGGATATGATTTTATACAGAAAAATAAGACTGATAACACCCATTTTGACTTCATAGACAAAATAAAAAATATGAATAACAAAAAAAGTAGAAGTGAACAATAATATCAAACAAGATGACTCAGATATTGCAAGAGTAGCATTAAATACTAGAATTCTGTCCAACACTGCAGAGATAGCGAAATTAGGCATCTCAGCTAATATGGAGCAAAACCAGCAAGTGTTATTTTTCCCAGAGGAAAAAAAAAGTAGAAAAGAACAATATATTTTTACCATAACTGAAAACAATTATAATTCCAAAATTATTTTAAGGAAAGGCGAAAATTTGATGAGGTATACAAACTAGAAGAAAATCAATTTGAAAGAACTATAGAACAAGAAAATTTACAAATTAACCATATAACATTAAAAGAGATTATAAGACTAAAAGAGGAGCTATTGAAAGAGCTATTAAAAGAGGAAAATACTGAAAAAAGTAGCCTAATGACTTTGATTTAAGCCATTTAGAGGCCGAACAAAAGAACTAAATGATAAAAATGCTTATGAAAGCTCAGTGGTATTTCTAAATCTTACTCCACGCTGGGAGAGACAGATGCTGTAGTGCCTCAGCCGCACTCAAGCAATGCACTCAAGCACTCAAGCAATGGCAGGAAGAGTGGAATTCTATTCCGCAAGGAAGAAGGACCTACGAATTCGCTCACAAAGTCAGCCTTGAGAGACAGATATCTCAGCCACACATTACCAGATTTATAACGGGTCATGGTCCATTCCCCGATTATTTTCTAGAGCGAAGAATAACAAACACCAACATCTGTGTGTGTGGCCAGCCAGGTAGCCCGGACCATTATGTCACCTTCTGCCCACTAACACGAGAGTGGCACATGCCGTTTTACAACACAGATCCAGCCTATAAAAGATTCTTCATTCGCCAACCAGCGGTACTTAAAAAAACTCAAAAGTATTATGGACAGACTGCAAGCATTAGGCCAGGACTTGTGTGATTCGGCTTAACCACAACCCTATCCTTTATGTAAATGTATATTAATGTATAAGTGTATCATTCTATTACTGTATGTATAGCCACTTAGGATGATACACGATTACGTGTTACCATTATTCTTCATCTATCGTATAATGTATAAGTGCCATTTTCAGTATTTCATTTCCATTAATGTATAAGTCTTTAAGTGTATCATTTGTACTAATATATATGTATAGCCAAGTAAGGTAATACACGAATATGTGTAACCTTTAATTGTCATCGTTCACACTGATACACAATTTTCATTCTCAGTGTATCATTTCTGTCAACGTATAGGTGTGTATGTATCATTTTTATTGATGTGTGTATAGTCCAGTAGAAATAATGTATGATTATGTGTTTTCATTTATCGCCATCATTTGTATGTGTTTATGCATACCATTTCTAGTAGTTTATGTATAGTCATATAGGATGACACACGATTACGTGTATTCATTAATTGTCATCTTCTGCATTATTGCGCCAGTTGCGTCAGTGTTTCATTTCTTTTAATGTATAAGTGTTTATTGTTTGCCTATCTCATTAACCCCTTAGACCATATAACATATGTATCCAATGTACCTATACCACCAATGTACCTATGTATGAAACTTTTTATTAATTGTATACTGAAGCATATATATGCACACGCCCTTGTTTGGCCACGTCAATACCACATATTCTCCATTAATATATTTCCGTTGCAGCCCTTTCAGGAAGTCGCCAGGGTTGTGTTGTTCTAAATAGGTGCGGGTACCGGACGACACCCGATTTGTCATATTAAGCCGTCCGGGTGTCCGGGCCCTGCATTCACCTGTCACCTGTAGTGCCTCAGTTTAATCTATTACATAACCTTTCAAATTGGACTAAACCGTATACTATTCCTCGTATTGCTAAGAAATATGGCCAAGAGGAGATAGCCAAATTATTAGAAGCAGGCATTATTGAAGCTTCAACATCAAATTATAGCTTCCCAGTAATTTGTTTAAAGAAAAGATCATCACCTAATGCTGATCCCAGTAAATTAAAATTTAGAATGGCAGTAAATTACAGATTACTAAATTACATAACTGAATCTTATCAAATTTATTTACCTAGGATTTCAGATATTTTGCATAACATATAGCTTAAAAATATTATTGTGCGCTAGATCTCAAGCCAGCATTTTTTTCAAATAAAATTAGATCAAAGAGATAAGGAAATATTAGCATTTTGCACTGAAATTGGCAATTTTCAACCGACTAGGTTATCGTTTGGTGCCAAGAACTCATCTGTGTATTTCCATACTCTAATATCTAAGTGTTTAGGTGATTTGCAAAGCCCAAATAAACAATATTTTTGGGATGACATAATTGTAGCGGCCAGTAGCGTAAAAGAGCTAGTAATTATTTTGCAAAAAGTGTTTTCTAGATTACAAAGATTTAATTTAACTCTAAACCGAGCCAAAATGCAATTCTGTAAGAATTAATTTACTTACTTAGGTTATTGTGTCAATAAGAAGGATTTTGCTCCATCGGAGGAGAATATTGAAAAAAATAGCCAAATTTCGCAGACCCAGGAATGTTAAGGAAGTCCTCATAGGCATGGTGAACTGCTTTCGTCATCTAATTTTCAATTATGCAGAAATTATTCTAGAAGGCGGAACAAATACTTTAAATATTCCCCGTTTTAAAGGGTGACTGGGGATTAGGGGAACCAATCGCCAAACCATGGGAGTGTAGAATCCTCATCCGCCACCCTTTTAGTTCGGGCGCCACTGTAGAGACATTAGGTTATTTTGAAGCAGGAGAGATAAAAAATAAGCAATTCCCTCACCGGGACTCGGACCACGGACCTCTCGAATTCGCGTCGAGCGTGCTAGCCACTACACCACGAAAGCATGCTAAGAAGGCGGGTGAAGTACCTTATATACTCCCTCTTTTAAAGGGCGACTGAAACCCAATCACCAATTGTGGGGGTGGAAAATCATCACCCACCACCCTTTTAGTTCGAGCGCCACTGTAGAGACATTAGGATTTTTTTTGAAAGCAAAAGATATGAAAAATAACTGCAAACTTAACCAAAAATACTCCATTTGTGTTTTGTGGAATGAACAATGCCAGAATGCCTTAGATAAGATATGGATATTAATCTTGGAAGAGCCCACAGTAAAACTACAGAAAATGATAAATCTGTATATTTAGTCACTGATGCATCAAAATCGACAATTTGTGGCATATTGTTGCAGAAAGATAATGATAAGTTTTTCCCAGTACAGTTTTACTCGAAAATTTTAACACCTGCGGATGCTAGATACCCTTCAATCAGGAGGTATCAGATAAAATTTTAAGCAATTTTTAGATTTGTGAAACA